CCCCAAAACCCCAAAACCCCGAAGAAATTATATACAACTTAAATATTTTATATATAATTGAAGAATAAATTACGTAAATGGAATTTATTGACAGAGCCTTGTTGAGCTCTTATCCAAATGCTCCTGCGTCCTTGAGATATACAGTCTATTTCGTTACATTTATCGGCTTCATTAATCTTATCAAACTAGGGTATGGCACTCTTGACCTCATTAACAGACACTTCATCAGAAGACCAAAAGATCTGATGAAAACATATGGGGGAAACGACACTTGGGCAGTCGTCACTGGTGGATCTGATGGCATAGGAGAGCAATTCTGCAAAGATCTCTCTAAGAAAGGATTCAATATTTGCATTTTGGGCAGAAATGAACAAAAAATGAAGGAGAAGCTCGATTAAATAAAGAAATAATCTGGGAAAGAGATCAAGACAAGATATGTAGTGGCTGACTTTGCCAAACTAACAAGGATATCAGACTATGAAAATATTGCTAGTTAACTTAGAGATATTGATATTGGTATGCTATTACTGAATGCTGGCTGGACTCAAGCCACTCCGTTCATTGACTTTACCCCTGAAAATATTGAGGCAACTGTAAATATCAATGCTGTTCATCCAGCATATCTTTCTAAGGTTCTTGTAAATCAACTCAATGAAAGAAAGCAAAGAAGTGCTATTATCATCACATCTAGTGGTCTCGGTTCAATTCCTGCAAGTGGTTTCATTACCTACAGTGCTAGTAAAGCTTTTGCAGGTTTTCTTGGATAAGGTTTAAACTTTGAACTTAAGAAAAAGATGGACGTAATGACTTTTGAATGCGGTGAGACAAGAACTAAACTTATGGGATCTAGAAAGAGCAGAATGATCGTTGACGACATCAGTAGAGTAACTACTGGATGTTTGAGAGATATAGGATATGAATCATTGACCTACGGGTGCCTTACTCATGAATTAGCAATGATTCCACTTAAAATATTCCCTTTGAGAATGTTGTAAAGTATGATGTTTAAGGCATCATAGAAGACATTTGCAATGCTTCAAAAGAAAGAGGCTGAGGCCAAAAAACAAAATTGAATCAAATTAATATTTCAACTCATATTTATGTTTTTAATATGATATAAAAATAATAAAGCAAATTTTCAAATTAAATTACCTTCAGGGGTTTTGGGGTTTTGGGGTTTTGGGG